AAGTTATCAGTATGATTATATTATTGAAAGATAAGGTAAGGTAAGATTTAATGTATTAATGTTAATAATAAGATTTATTGTCATTTTTTACTGTGGGCACACTGGTCCTCATTAAAAATGTAAGTCTGTTACCTGCTCTCAAAAGAAAGTATATATCTACCCATGTACATACATAACACACATATACACATGCTGTACACACACAAACACATACGCATACATATACATATTAATCACTGTTATTTTGAATACATAACAGAAGGAGGAAGCTTTAGAATTGATAAGGTTAATACTGTATGGAACCAAACTGAATCTGAATGTTCTGCTTCGGATACCATGGAGCCTCCACCCAGAAGGTAACAAGGAAAACAGGTCATGAGGAGGATGTGTAGTGCCCCGGGGAATCCTGCAGACCCTGCTCAAGCAACGCTTATATGCTATGTTCTGGATGGAAGGAAGGGAATTGCCAATGAAATTTTCAGCCATCCTCACCACTCCTGTCTGAAGCAGTGATGCTTCCAAACCAGACTGTGATGCTGTATGACAGGATGCTCTCGATCATCCCTCTGCAGAAAGTGGTAAGGACAGGGAGAGGAAGATGTACATTTCTCATGTGACATAGAAAATACAGCTGCTGCTGTGCCCACTTTACTAGTGTGTTACTGTTGAGCGACCAAGCTAGTCTACTCGTTAGCTGCACACCCAGAAACCTGATGCTGCTAATCACCTCCACAAGTGAATTATTAATACACAGGGGTGTGTGACTGTGCCATTGTGAGTTTATGTGATAATATCTGAGCATGTACATACAGAGCCACATTGTTGTAGTGGTTAAGGTACCAGGGCTAGAAACTGTGAGACTGTGACTTTTAGTAGCACCTTGATCATGACACCAGTTGCGTGACCTTGGACAAGTCACTTCTCTCAGCCCTAGGAAGAAGAAGACAGTGAAAAATGCTGCCAAGAGAATTGCCAGATATCAATAGCATCTTCAAAGAAGAAATTTTAACTGTGTGACCTACTAATATACTATGTAGTTTCTATACTTTAACTAAGGAGCAAGTAAACATGATAATATGTCACTTCTATACATGTGTGCAATTTACTTGAATAGTTATATAGGGGTAAACAAATTTGTACTTGGTTTGGCAAAAGCTGAACAATTTTTTTTCCTGCACATGGCATTCAGAAATTAGAGGCAACATTGGTGATGAGTCACTGCTACTATGTCTTCCTTTATCAGTGGATTAACTCATGTCTTTCTTTCCAAAGCTTTATGAGAGACAATTAAAATCACACTGCCTCTGGAAGTCTTTTCACAGCAGGCTAATTCTCATGTGTAGATGTCACTGAAGAATCAGTTGATGAAGGGAACATTTCAGCTCACAAAGCCGAGACAGCTTGCCAGTTGGAGTCTGTAAAATTAACATGAGATAGAAAAGTGAGGTATGAATCAGAAGAGTGACATGGCTGATAAACAGTTTTGTACAGTTTAGGCAGTTTCAATAGAAATTAACTTTCAGATTCCAAATTGTAGAAAGTAATCAGTCCACTCTACTTCTCCAGTTTAAGTGTTGAATCCAAATTTGGATACCACTGCATCAGAAGAATGAGGCAAATCAGAAGAAATGCTTTGTGGTTGATCAGTGAACTGAAAACATGGAGCAATTAAGGAAACTGAGTTTAATGTTAACAAGAGAAGACTGAAAATGAATATGATAGCACTTCCCCAGTTCACTAAAGGCCCGTGATTTATTTTCTGATCTTCCCAGGGTATGTGGAATAATGACCTCTAATTACATGAAAGGAAATCTCTATTGAATGTTGACAACAATAATAATAGTTGACCGTTAATCAAGGGCTTTAATTAAAATTTAGCCAGTAAATTCTTATGACTAGTACATTCAAACTTTTTTTCCTGCCTATTTTTCCTCTAAGGTTCCTATTTGATCTAACCTTCTAAAATCTAAAGTAACATCCTACTTGTTTCTTAGACCATTTTTACTTATCCTGTCTTATGAAAAACTCTGCATATGTGTATAACCTTATCTAATTTTTGGATTATCAATCACAAATATAATAATGAGCCCAATTGTGTGGGGTGTCATGGGACAAGACGACAAAGTTTGCCTTCTCCATTTGGTCATGTTAATAACTGGGAGGTATAATTATCTTTTTGGGAGTGATCTGGACAGCCATCTATGTTGAGTTCTTTAATTTGGTCTCTTGAAATGAGCAAGGAGTTTGGCATGAACAATAAATGTCCCTCCCCCACTCTTAAAATTCTAATATTGTAGAAGTTCATAATTATTACAAATTTAGACATTACATTTGAAGCAGTATGAGAGTGAATTAGGTCATTTGCTGACAATGAGAGCATATTTTTTTGCATATGTTTACTTCATAACAAAGAGATTTCTAGGATTTTAAATTTCTTAGATTTTAAACTGAAGTTTGAAATACTTTTTTGATACAATTAAATGTTTACTTTAAGTTTACTTTTTGAGAAAGTAAGATTGTTCTCTTATCTTAAAGAAAATTTATCCCTGAAGTACAATAATAATTCAACATGAGGATGAAGATGATAATTTTGTAAAATATATCCTGCATTAAAATCTTGATAAGGTCAATCAGAACTTTGGGGGGAAATGGTAGTATTTGAAGTTAACAGTTTTAAGACACTAAAATGTAATTGGATTAAGATCTTTCCTCGTGGTTATACCTGGGAGGAAGATAATTTAGAATACAGATGTGCACTGAATTGTGTCCAATTGTGAAGTTCTGTGACATGAAATATCCATTCATTGACCATCTCTTTTGTGGATTGTGAGATGGCAGAGGAAATTTCCAACTATTGTCACTGTGCAAACAATAGTGGGAAATTGCTTAGCAGACAGATGTCAGTTGAATCAAACTGGCACTGATTCATGACATGGGAAAACTTTTAGAAGCAACAACAAAAAGTTCCATGACATCTTAAAAGTCTTTAGGAAAAATGCAAGAACAATACTGAAGGAAAAGGACAGGAGATGATGTGTATCCCAATCTTTTTCTGACCATCCCAAAGGTATTCATTTAGCTGTCATTGGAGAGAAGAGTGCTGTTGTAAACACTTGGGAAACATGTTCAGCTAATCATAACTTATCATGGATAAAACTGCCAGGGTGGTGGGTTAGAAAAATTATTGATAAGTTGTAGAACATAGAAAGCTCCTGGGTCTATCATTGGCATTGGCAACTAAAAAGGATATATTCAGGAGATAGAAAAAAATTCAAGTCTCTAGAATATCTCCATAGGTTAGTGTCAGCAACTTTAACTTAGATGGATTAAATAGTCTGACTTGATCAAAATCAGTAGTGCCAAACATCTGAGGAATTAAGGACTCAAGAGTTTGGTTTCTTGGGTACTTCCAGAAAATTTGAAACCTTTTTCTGAAGGATCAGGGCTGACATTTTTCAGCTTATATTTATATTAAGAATGAAAGGGCAAGGATGGAAAGAGGAGGCATATGGGAGCTGAAGTGCTTCCATCCTTTCCCTTAATTACCACCTCAACTCCAACATTTTCTTGAATCATTTTTCAGGAATGTTGAGAAGTTAGAGGTTTTGATGAGAGCAGGGGGAAAATGGTAAGAAATATTTTTGGTAAATGCTGGGAAAAAAAGGCACTGAGTTCTACAAATGGGAAATTCTTTTCAGCTGGTTTATATCTCTGTTCCCACAATATGCTTTACTGGGTTAAAAGGGAAATAGTATGTTGTGGGAACTTGAGTAAGTTGACAATTTAATTTCCAGATGGTTGAATTTAGCCTGAAAAAAATCAGTCTTGAATAGAGTTAAGCCCACTTAGCCATTTCATGGGAATATGCAACCCCAATTATGTGGCACATTTTACATATCTAGTCTTCTCATAGAGAAGTAAATATCCTGTTTTCAATTAAAAATAACCCTTCTGGTGCCCCATTGCTGATTGAGCAATAGTGTCTGCCCAAGGTGTTTACCCCAATATTGATCTAGCTAAGTGTGTTATACAAACAGAATCGATGAAAAGTGGCAACTGCCAGAGTTAAAGATTGGTAGAAAATGTATTCCAGAACATACATCTATACAATTCCTGGTTTTATTTCACTTCATAGTACCTCATCCACTGTAAAATAATTATTAAATTATAAAAATAAAATTTTAACAGTTTTAACAGTACTTGAATATCTGAATCTCACACATATACACAGGCAATAGGCAGATCCTTTCTGATTTCTAAAAAAAATACTATAGGACAGTGGTTCTCAACCTTTCTAATGCCGTGACCCCATAATACAGTTCCCCATGTTGTGGTGACCTCCAACCACTTATACATCACCGGGTGCCAGGGGCGTGGCCGAAGAAAAGGGGGAAAAAATGGCAGACAGCCTTGTTTGGCGACCCCCGTGAAATGGTCGTTCGACCCCAAATGGGGTCCCAACCCACAGGTTGAGAACCACTGCTATAGGAGAACCAGTTTGGTGTAGTGGTTAAGGCACACAAAGCCACCTGACGGACCTTGGGCCAGTCCCTCTCTCACAGACCCAAGAAGGAGACCTCTGAAAGGCCTTGCCCAGAAAACTGCAGGGATTAGTCCAAGCTGTTGCCAGGAATCCAAAACTGACTTAAAGATGCACACACAAAAGATAGTATGTTTGATTTCATTGATATAGTTTGCAACAAATATTCTATATCTATCTCTCTATCATCTATCTTTCTCTCTCTCTCTCTCTCTCTCTCTCTCTCTGTATCTATCTATCTATCTATCTATCTATCTATCTATCTATCTATCTTTCTCTCTCTCTCTCTCTCACTCTCTATCTCTGTACCTATCTATCATCTATCTGTTTATCTATCATCTATCTTTATCTCTCTCACTATCTCTGTATCTATTTATTTATCTATCATCTATCTATCATCATCATTTTTAAATGTTTAAAGTTTTGAATATTGATAACTCCTCTTTGTGATTATTAACAGAGACTAATCATCTCACAGCCTTATATAAGAAAGAGGAAACCATCCACGTTTGGGAAAATGGCTACATCCAGAGCCCTCGTTTCCCACACAATTATCCCAGGAATCTCTTGCTGACATGGAAGCTACGTTCACCAGGAAATGCTAGAATACAGCTGGTCTTCGATCATCAGTTTGGACTGGAGGAACCAGAAAATGACATCTGCAGGTAAGCCAATCAAAGCACTGAGGAGATCCAGTGTGGTTCATGATTGCTCACTTGGTAGAACAACTTCAAGGCAGGCAACAGTAAATTAGCCAAGTTTCATAGAGATGTTTTAAAAAATTAAGAACTGCAGTCTGACCAAACTTCTTTTCTTATTGATGGAAGATTTGAGATGCTCACCCAAGTTGAAGGAAATTGTTTATCAAACAATTTCCACTGATACCTGCTCAACATGGGGTGGAATTGCAAAGTCCCTCCACCAATAGCTAAACAGTTGTGGTTTTAAATGTAGCAGAAGGGAGAGGGGAGAGAGATTTATAATGCCTAATGACATTTCCCAGCCATTATTTCTGACTAATTCTTGTCTTTTCATGCATTCATTTTTATTTTATTTTGTAGTCTTGCTTTCCTCATCTCTATCAATTATGAAGTGTCTGTATGTTTTACGTGTTGCAAACTACTTTGCAAAGAAATAGAAATATATTTCTTTTCATAAATGAGACCATTAATTAAAAAGGTGGGCAGAAACTGCATTATCAAGATAAAATGTACTTTTGAATTAAAGTTATTCAACTATTTTTTGAAATGGGATCCCAGTTTTGCTCTTTTATACTACATATTATCAAATGTATTTTATTTCTGTGAAGCAGCTGAGAAAGCAAACTGTGGATGAGAAATGATATAAGGTATGAACAATGATTATTTTTATGCAGGACCTGTTCTTTGTAATGTTTATATGAATAAAAATAAGATTGGAGAACACAAAGTAACTATATTCCAAATTTTCTGTCTATTTAATACCTCTTTTGCATTCAAAGCATATGGGTGAATTTTATCCAATACTATGTCAATAAGATAATAATAATAATAATAACAACAACAACAATAAAAATAATAATAATAAAGTTGGAAGGGACCTTGGAGGTCATCTAGTCCAACATCCTGCTCAGGCAGGAAACCCTATACCATTTCAGACAAATGGCTGTCCATTCTCTTTTTAAAAACTTCCAGTGTTGGAGCATTCTGGAGGCAGGTTGTTCCACTGATTAATTGTTCTAACTGTCAGGAAATTTCTCCTTAGTTCTAGGTTGCTTCTCTCTTTGGTTAGTTTCCATCCATTGCTTCTTGTTGCGTCTTCAGGTGCTTTAAAAAAATAGCTTGACTTTGTGGCAATCTCTGAGATATTGGAACACTGCTATCATGTCACCTCTCATCCTTCTCTTCATTAAACTAGACATGCCCAATTCCAGCAACCTTTCCTTATATGTTTTAGCCTCCAGTCTCCTAATCATTTTTGTTGCTCTTCTTTGTACTCTTTCTAGAGTCTCAACATCTTTTTCACATCGTTGTGACCAAAACTGCATGCAGTATTCCAAGTGTGGCCTTACCAAGGCATCGTAAAGTGGTATTAATACTTCACGTGATCTTGATTCTATCCCTCTCTTAATGCAGCCTAGCAGTGTGTTGACTTTTTTGGCAGCTTGGTGTCGTCTGCAAATTTAATGTGTTCCCCATCTAGCCCCTCATCCAAATCATTGATAAAGATGTTGAAGAGCACTGGGCCCAGAACAGAGCCCCGGGGCACCCCACTGCACACTTCCCTCCATGTAGATGCAATTCCATTAAGGACTACATGCCGAGTATGGCCAGTCAGCCAGCTACAAATCCATCTGGTGGCGACGCTGTCTAATCCACATTTTTCTATGTTACCAAGTAGTAGGTTGTGGTCTGCTTTATCAAATCCCTTATTATATGCACAGCATTCCTCTGGTCCACTAATTTTGTCACTTGGTCAAAGAATGCAATAAGATTTGCCTGGCAGGATCTGTTTTTGATAAACCCATGTTGGCTTTCAGTAATGACTTTGTTTGCCTCTAGGTGTTCACTGATTCATTGCTTGATTATCTTTTCCAGAATCTTTCCAGGTATTGAGGTCAGGCTGATAGGTCGTAGTTTCCTGGATCCATTTTTTCCCCTTTTTTGAAGATGGGAACTACATCAGCTCTTTTCCAGTCCTCTGGGAGTTCTCCAGTGCTCCAGGATCTTTGAAAAATATAGTTCAGTGGTTCTGAGATCACATCTGCCAATTCCTTCAGAATCTTGGGGTGTAATCCATCTGGTCCTGGTGATTTGAACTGGTCTAGGGTAGACAGGTGCTCACTCACCATTTTTTTTTTTTTTTGCCTATCTTGACTTGTGTTTCTAATCTGTTTTTTACAATACTGTTTTTGATAGGTTGGACTGTTTTTTCCCTTTGTGTAAAGACAGATGCAAAAAACGAGTTTAGTTCTGCTTGGTTCCTGTTGCTTATCACCGTCTTTCCACATTCTCCCACTAATGGACCAATCATTTCCTTCACTTTTTTCTTGTTTTTTACATGTTGAAAAAAGCTTTTTTTGTTATTTTTTTACTTTTGTCACAAACCTTAGTTCATTTTGAGCCTTAGCTTTCCTCACTTCATCTTTTCAGGCTCAGGCTATTTGCTGATATTCTGCCTTAGTTATGTGCCCCTCTTTTCACTTTTTATGCTTGTCCTTTTTGTTTTTCAGTTTATCAGAAAGTTCTTTATGCAGCCATGCTGGTTTCTTTTGAGAGCTGTTATTTTTTCTTCTTCATTAGTATTGTGCTAGACTGGGCTTTTATAATCTCACTTTTCAAAATTTTCCAAGCTTCTTGAGTTGTTTTCCCCTTGAGGATTCTCATCCATTGAATCCTTCCCAAGCTCTCTCTAAGTTTATTCAAATTAGCTTTCTTAAAGTCCAAGATTCTAGTTTGAGTATGTTCTATTGCTTGTGCTTGCAAAATGTTGAATTCCAATATTGAATGACCATTCCCCCCGAAGGTTCCTGTGGGTTCAATGCCTTCTATCATTTCATTGCTGTTAGTGAGAATTAAATATGGCTGATACTCTTGTTCCCTTCTCTACTTTTTGGGAGACAAAGTTGTCTGCTAGGTTTATCAGGAATCTGTTTGATCTTCCACTTGATGCAGAGTTTGTCTCCCAGTTGATGTCAGGGTAATTAAAGTCTCCCATTACTGTTGTGATGTGCTTCCTACATACCTTAGTTAATTGATTAGCAAAATGCTCATCTATTTCCTCTGGTTGGGTGGCCTATAGTATACACCTATGCAATGTCATTTTTTTCCTTTTTATATTGACCCAAATGCATTCAAGACAGTTTTCATCATTGTTGTGCTCTATTTCTGTAGAGATGTAGTTATTTCTTATATAGAGAGCAACTCCACCTCCTCTTTTATTTGGTCTGTTTCTTTTAAATAATTTAAATCCCTCTAGCTATGTGTTCCATTTTGGGGTTTCATCCCACCAAGTTTCCATAATGGCAGCAATATCATATCTGCCCTCATTTACCTGAATTTCTAGTTCACCCTGTTTACTGCTCATACTCTGTTTGTTGGTGTATAGACATTTGAGTCCTTTATGACTGACCTTGCGTTTACTTTCTACATAACCTGTGTGGTTCCTGATTTCCCCTATTTTCTTACCACCTGTTTGATTAGTGCACTTGGTGTGGCACTCACTATTAAAAGCTTGATTTTGCTTGACAGCTAGGTTGATATTCTTGTCCACACACACCTCTATATTACATGCACTGATAACCCTATAATTTGTAGATTGCCGAGGATAGGAATGTTCTGTATCAATTAACTCACTGTCTCCATTGTTCAGTTTAAATATTTCTCCAGGAAATCTGTGAATTTATTGTCAAGTAACTCAGTCCCTTTCCTTGATGGATGCAAACCATTTCTTTTGTACACTTTTTCATTGGACCAGCTGCAGACATTGTGACTAATATAAGCAAAGTGTTTCCCTTTACACCACTCCTTTAGTCACATATTGAATTCTGCTATATGCTGGCCTTTTCCATTTTGTTCCTTATACACTGGTTAAAACCTCTGAAAAAGCAAGCCTACAACGTGTCCTGCTAAGTTCCTACCCCAAGCACTGGAAATATTCTGCACAGAGAATACATCTTTTTGGGACAGATCGTTAGTGCCAAGATGTACAATAGCATCCATATCACAGTCCTTGCTGGCATTCTTGACTATCTTAAAAGTATCTTATTGACACTGTCTGAAAATCCCACCATCAACTTCCCAGAGAACTGAGCAGACTTTTGAAGTTGGGCTGTAGTCATTATTTTTATTTTCTAAAAATGTCCCTGTGATTTTCAGTGCCAACGTGGAAATGTTGCAGAACAAAAGATGAGAATGATGTCTCATTAAAGATGATGCTAGAAGCTTCAGGGATCATGGTGGTGCAGTAATTAGAATACAGTATTGCAGGCTATCTCTGCCCATTGCCAGGAGTTCGATCCTGACCCACTCAAAGTTGACTCATCCTTCCATCCTTCCAAGGTTGGCAAAATGAGATGCCAGGTTGTTAGGAGCAATATGCTGATTCTGTAAACTGCTTAGAGAGAACTATAAAGCATTATCGAGTGGTATATAAGTCTAAGAGCTATTGCTAGAGGCTGATTTTGGCTTTCTAGAATCCCAGATTTCCCATTATTTTTTTAAATAAAAGGATCGTTAAAATGTCAAATGTTCACTCTCATCTGCTGCCTTGCATCACTTTGTAAATTACATTTCTCTGCAAAATTGCTAATCTCTCACCTTCACTCCAGATATGATTTTGTGGAAGTGGAGGATATTTCCGAAATTAGCACTCTCATCCGAGGACGGTGGTGTGGATATAAAGAAGTTCCTCCCAAAATTACATCAAAGACAAACCAGCTGAAGATCACCTTCAAATCAGATGACTTCTTTGTGGCTAAACCAGGATTCAAGATTTACTATTCCCTGGTGGTGAGTAACATGATGGTGGCTGGAGACGAAACAAAGGACTGCAGTAGGGTACAAGAAATGATTGGGGAAGGAAGAAAGAATAATAAACTTCCAAGTTAAGATAATTAATACTACTTCCCTTTGGGGAACATGTAGTATGATCATTTATGATGAAATCAGCAAAAGAGGAAAACTTTAATTAAAATTCACTACTCTTCATTTTAATAACATATATTGGAATACTATACATTTGGGGCTAGAATAATCAGGTGAAGGCAACGACAGAGATTTCCCTCCCCCCCTCAAAAAATACTATGAAAGTGACACTCTTATTCAGTTCCAACATGATCTCATTTGAAGTCAAAGGCGGGGAGGAAAATGCCTTCAAGTGTTGAAGCTCCTGAAGCTAAGCAAAACACACACAGGTCATTTATTTATTTATTTATTTAGAAAGTTTATATAGCTGCCTATTCACTCACAATGACTCTAGGCAGCTTACAAATAATAAAAACACAATGAAGAAAAAAATAAAAATAAAAAATAACACACATACCCCCAGTGACAGCACACAATTAAATGAACCATTTGATAGGCTCCACCGCACTCTGGATTCCCCAGGCCCACTGGCAAAACCTTCTGGGCCTTCAGGGCCTTCCAAAAGACTATCAAAGTGGGGGCCAGTCTAATTTCAGAAGGGATATTCCAGAGGGAGGGAGCCACAATGGAGAAGGCCCTTCTTCTGGGTCCTGCCAGATGAGCCTCCTTAGGGGATGGGACCTGCAACATTCCTTTTCTCCTGGCTCTAATGGGTCAGGAGGATGTGACTAGCAAAAGATGGCCCCAAAGATGCAGATAGGGCTCAACAAATTATTATATTTTGAATACACTGTGTGAAGATCTGGATCTCCACAGAAATAATCCAATGCTAGGAAAGTTTGGAGGAAAGGGAAGATCAGCAGTAAGAGTTGTGGACTCAGTTACAGTGAAAAGGGGTGTGTTTTTGGAAGAAGTGAAGGGCCAAGTTAAGGACATATCATCATAGAGAAAATCTATCTATGAGTCAACACCAACTGATAGCACATAATCAGTCAGGTGCTCAGCATGATTATCTGGTGGATAATGTAGGCTCTGTGGGAGTGGCACAATGGCCTAGAGGTGAAGATACTCGCCTCCTACTCAGAAGGTTGAAAGTTCAATCCTAGGCAGTGACAGATGTTTCTCTATCCAGGCATTAAAAAAAAATATCTACTGTGAACTCTGCATAGGCATCAGGAATGGTATCTGGCCAATAAATGCTCAGCTCCACTCAGTTGCCGTGACTCCACCCCAAAACAAGGGATTAAAGGTTCATAAAAAGAAGAAAAATGTAGGTTCTGTAGCTACTTTTCAGAATAGAAGCAAATTGTTGGAATATCCTCAATATCTTACTCAGACTGAAAACATTGTTTAAGGAAGCAACATTGTACTTCACTGTAGAACTTTTATTTACTTATTTATTAGATATATGTGCTGCCCATCTTTGTCACATGACTCTGGGTCACTTACAATTGGAAAAGAGGGAAAAGAGGAAATGTGGACATACCAGCTTACTTTTCCCAATCCTGTAATATCAACCCACCATGCAGAATTGTTGAGTGTGAAATGTATGTGAGAAATACCTTCCTATGACTGTATATTAGAATATAAATATAATAAATTGTGATAGATACTCCACAAGGGAAAGCAGTTGATCAAGCAATCCAAAAATGAGATTTATGCTTTAGTTGTTTGCAGCTAGAAATTTATTTTAAAAATAAACATGCCAATTAGCAACTGTCTGTAGACAGAATTCTTATGAGCTAGGTAATTATATTAGTGTCACAGTAATGACATTCTGCTTCTCATAATATACATTTCAAGGCATGTTGAAACCTGAGAAAACATCTTACTGGGGAAAAAACCCCAGCTGCTATTTAGTTTTCTGCACTTTTTTCTTTTTTTTACTTTATGGATTTCTATTATGAATGGGCAGAGAAATTCTTCTGCCTTTTCCTGCAGTTGTCCTCCTGTTTGGTCAGAGGGTTTGCTTTAGAATTAATTATTCCAAAGGAGAGGAGAAATTCTGAGTTACAAGGAAGGGCAGACATCTGTGACTTTCTTGTCTTTCATTGCATCATTCTCTCTTTATCCGTCTCAATGACTGTAACTGTATGTGAGAATGACCTTGGGAGATAAGAGAAAGAACTGCAAAGTAGGCAGATAAAAGGCACCTGAGCTGGCAAGAGAAATAGGGACTTGGCAAATGTATCATAAGGAACTCTCCCTAGTTTCCTGGACTGTATAGGTGAGGGGGGGGCAGATGTAATTTCAATCTTCAAAGATTCTGTGAATGTAATCCTACATACAATAAGGACAGAGTTAATATTTCTGAGTGTGCTTCTATCTGGACTACTTCCCCAGGTTGACCTTGTCTCCCACACTTCCATTAAGTTCCAGCAAAACAAAAAATAAAAACAGTATAGTATTTTTCCCATATAATAATGCTAAATATGATTATTAAAAAGTGAGTTATGACTTTGATAAGTTGATGAAAAATTATTTGGAGAAATTTAAAGAAAAAATTTCTCTGCCCATATATTGGGTGAAAAATTTCAGAGGACAGTTTTTGTTTTGCTATTGCTATTGTCACTGAGGAGGTAGAGTCTTCCTCTTGGACAATGTGGATGGACAGAATTGTGACCCAACTGTCAAGCACCAGGGAAATCAGGAGATCCAGGCAGTTCAAATGAGTATAAACATTTATTGCAAGCTTAAGCTCTCTACAAGAATCTGAACTACTAACAGCCAAAGGAAATTGGTGGTTGATAAGGATAAAAGAAATTCAAGGTAGGCTGGACTTAGATCTCTTGTGGGCGTGAAGGGATTCATGACTAATGATGCTTTTGACCCCTCTCTCTGGCTCAGCCTGGTCATCTCCTACACCAACACATCTGCAACCTGCAGCCTGGGAAAGATTAACTTTTGTGACTATAATGACCTCTTATTTCATGGTAAATGTTGTGGGAAATTATTGGAATTACTGGAAGAATTGCATCTTGTTATGGGCTTGATAAAGGGAAAATCCAACCCTTCTAGAGAATATTGGAGAAATCGTTCAGCTAATTTCCCTGTTCATAAACTTAGTGGAGAGCCTCAAGTGGTATTTATGTCCAACTTCCATTTTTATTACACAAGCCAGTGAGACATATATACTCCAGGAGCATTTCAAGACAATAACTAAGGAAGAGGAAATAGTATGGGAGCTTCAGTGCTGAAAAATCCAGAAGAATCCAGATATGGCCCCTTTGGACTCAGAATACTTAGTTAAACAGGATATTGACATAGATCTCCAAAGCTATCCTCATGAGTTAAGTTACTATACTGTGGAAGCCTTTAATTTGAAGGCAATTTAGCAAAACAACAATTTATGATATTGCTTTCCCTGGAGTACCACAATGCATAAGAATTAAGCACTGCTGCTTTGTGTGATATTTCCAAAGGATCTCTCCTATAACTTGCCAGCTTTATGAGAAACTGTGTACAATTAATTCAAAACCCTGGGGCTTCAGGAAACAAGAAAATATACAACTTTGCAAAAGTGCAGAGATTTGTGTGGGGTTTTTTTTCAGGAGGGGAAAATGGATGAGTTTGTTTCCAAGGATCTGTGATGTCAAGGTTATGCATAGAAAGTCAATTTTGCTTGCCAGCAGCATTTCTAAGAGAACATGGTCCTAAACTGCTTGGAAATTAGAAGGGCTTTTCTAGATTGTGAGACCTCTGAGCATTTCATGCACATTTAAAGGAAGAGATCCAAGCATTTCTTTTTTCTGCATGAAGTAGAAAATAATATAGAATTATCTCCATTTTTTTAATCGAATATATTCTTCCTGGGCATGCTGCAAACACAAAAGCAAACTGTTGTAATTTGATACTCTCCTGATATGATGGACTATAATTCTCACCCCAGTACAATCAGTTGAGAATTATGTCTGTAATACACCACTATGACCAGTAGGCTCTAGTTTGGAGAAACAGAGTGATACCACAAGCGGCTTCAATGTCTCTTTGAGTATTTCATTATGAGGAAGCTTATGCAGAAGTTGCACCAGTGCCATTTTGAAAAATTTTCAGCGTTTTTAATTGATCTACAATTTGACAAAAGCAAATTGCTTTCAAATAAGAAGAGACATTTGGAGAAACTCTCATCAATATAAAGGCCTCACAATTCATTTATTTGTTTAAAATATTTGTATCCCGTTTTTCTTTTTTTAAAACAAAAAAAAAACACCTTCAAGGCAGCTTATAATTAAATTATTCAGGGCACGTGTAACTCTTTCGATGTACAATCCTTTTTCCAGACGTCTGAACCCTTCCTGTCTTGCTATATTTGAGAGACATTCCAAGGGAAGAAAACAAGAAGAAATTTCTCCCGTTTGGTCTTTTAGATTGGGAAATGAGGACAGTCAGAGAGGTTTTACAGTGATAGAAAGACTTGTGACAGAAAACAGCATTACCTGAAGTTGTATAATGGTATGTGCAAATGATCTTGGGAGACAGGAGGAAGAGCTGCAGACTAGACCAGGGCTTTTCAACCTTTTCATTGATTGTACCACTTTTAGGATATGGCAATATTCGGGTACCACCTTGCAAGGTGTCAAAAACTTGACCAAAAAAAAAAAACCCTATTCAAAGTTGCAATTGCACTGAAATGACTTATGACCATTTTTCACACTTATGTCCATTGCAGCATGCCCAGGGTCATGTGATTTATATTTGGATACTTGGCAACTGATTCATATTTATGATGGTCACAGTGTCCCAGGATCATGTGATCTCCTTTTGCAACCTTTTGACAAGCAAAATCAATGGCAGGGCTGCTGGTGACCAAGTGCTAAGGCGGAACTTCCTTCCCTCCTTCCCTGCCTCCCTCTTTCTCATTCCCATCTCCTTTTGAAGGAAAAAAATTGAAACCCCCCCCCCCATATTTTCCCTCTTCCATATAT